TGGGGCCTAGCGCGGGCCAGCCCAAGGCCGTACCTGGCCAGGAGGGAGGCCAGTCTCTTCAGGGCAGCGTCTGCAAGAGGATGCAGCATCGGGCCAGATGCCCTGCATCTGCATGGGGACCGCAGGCCAGGGATGCAGCGGGTGGGGCAGGTGGGGTCAGAGGGATATGCTGGCCACAGGCATGAGGCCAAAGAGGAGGAGGTCTGAGCTGTGAGGAACACGGCTGTGGGGATGAGGGCTGGTGCCTGGCTGGAGGACACGGTACCTGTCTGTGCAGGGGGTGGCTGGGCGGTCAGGGGCACTGGCTTCTTCCTCTCCTTCCCGTCCCCGTGGGTCCCGGGGGGCCCTGTGGTCACGGGGGAGCCGTAAGCTGTGCTGGAGCCTGGTGCCAGCAGGGTCCAGGCGGCCAGCTTTCTCTCTTGGCAGGGAAAGCATGCCCAAGTCCTGGAAGAGATGCCCCCCATCCGTTCCTGGCTGCCCGCCTGGCGCGCCCGAAAAAGGGCCTGGGCAGGGACCCGGCCGAGCAGCGAGGAGGTCTCAGGGTTCTGCCTGGCTGAGCTGCTGGGGAGCTGGTGAGCACCATCCTGGTAGCCGAACTGCAACCAAAACACAGAGCCGCCACGGTCAAACCTCACAGGGCCCCTGCTACCCCATGGCAGGGCACCCCAAGCCTGGGACACCCTACCCATCTCTACCTTTCTGCCCAGAAGAGGGGGGGGCCTCGCCCTTGTCATTTACCTTGTGGTAGGAGTAGGGGTTGAGCAGAGCCTCCTCGTAGCCCAGCTGGGGCAGGGTGGGCAGCAGGAGATGCTCCAGGTACCGCTGCACCAGGGGGGAGGGCAGCAGCGGCGGGGGCTGCCCCAGATGCTGAGCCACTGGCAGGCCGGGGTCCGCAGGGAGTGTGGCTCGCCGGGAGGAGCTGCGGAGGGGCAGGAACCTCGGAGGCAAACAGTGCTGCGGTGACTCACCTGGGTATGGGGGATGTACCCCCCAAAATCCCATTTTGGGAGCAAAGTCCTCACTGCCCTGCCAGGCTTGGCTCGCAGGCTGGCAGCTGGCACTGTCCTACCTGTCCCGGGCCGCCGGCTCCAGTGAGGGCAGCGGGCGGAGGCGGGGGATGCGCTCCATATCCTGCGAGATCACATACTGGGTGATGCCGTCCTGCCACGAAAGCCCTGCCACGGAAAGAGGGCTGTGAGACACAGAAGAGGCCTGGAGACCACGGGGTGAGTGCACAGGAGGCCGCCCTGCTGTCCTGACCCTGTGTCCCATGGCCTGGGTTTGGCCCCGCTCCTCCCAAAATCAGCTGCATCCCTCCTCAGCCCACCCTGGCCCCTGCACCAGCAGGATCTCAGACAGCCCTGGTGCCACTAGGCAATGCTGCCTCACACACTCTCCCCCCCAGGCCACAGTGACTCCCATGTGGTCCCCCCTTCACCTTGTGCCATGAGATGCCGCAAGACATCCTGCAGGCGCTGGAGCACAGGAGAGGTGACCTGGAAGTAGGGTCTGTCCTGCACGGAGCCCACCTGGCACTGCCCAAACAGCCCATCTGCAAGAGAGGGGAGGCGGCAGGGTGGGACAGATGAATGCCCTGAGGTGAGGGTCTCTGGGCACAGCCCCACATTTTTCCCCCCACACCACACCCCAAGTTCCCCTGCAAGGCAGCCCTACACCCTCCACACCCCCTTGGGAAGGAAGAAGGGATGCCCGCACCCCCTCTAGCCACTTACCTTGCACACACACCTCCTGGGGGGAGCACAGCCTCCGGTCAAACAGGCAGCCTGGGATGGACAGACAGACAGAGCCAGGCCAGTCAGCACAGCTTCCAAGTGGGGGGCCCAGCTGCTTGGGGACCCCCACTCTCCAGGAAAGCACCACAGGGGTGCAATATGGTGATAGGGAC